TACATTTCAATGATGGAATTTAATGGAGGTCACAGAAGAAGAACTCGACGCTAACACACATGATCAAACAAATCAAACCTATAAGGAGGCGACTTGAGCGGATCGTGGTGTAGATCGTTCATTTTTTAAGGAAATAATGAGAAAGCGCCCCAAAATGCGAGAAAAACAAAACAAGAGAATTATGTAAGTCGAAAAATCAAGATATTTCAACTTCAAAACTTAATTTCAACCTAATCGTCGTCAGCTTGCCCGCACCAACATGCAATCAATCATTGTGGAACGTCGTTCGATTAATAAAATGAAATAATCTAATCAAAGAAAATAATAAACGTTTTTGTTTCCTTCAGATGAAATTACACGGTATAACTTTAAAAGCTTGACAATAAACCTAGAATCAACAGGAACGGTTTCGTGAAGACATATTACATCTCTAAGGTAACGTCCTACACACTTGTACAAACATGTTTTTCATATGAGTGATCACGAACCGCTCTGAAGAACCTTTCAAAATTATTTCTTGACGTAGACTTTGTGTACGGAAGCTTCGTGAGACTTGAGGTTGGAGCTGTGACTGGTACGGTAGTCACAGTAAGAGCAATTGTATGGTTTTTCTCCTGTATGGACCCTCATGTGCTGTTTTAAGTTAAAGCTGAGTGCACAGCGATAAGGGCAAAGAGAGCACGAAAATGGCTTGACATTTGAGTGCGAAAGCATGTGACGACTCATGCTAGCCGTCCTTGTCTTGTACGGACATAACGGACATTGTTTCTCAGGTTTTCCGTCAAAACTGCTTGAATGACGACGATGAGTCGGAGAAAATCCAGGTAGACTACTAAGAGAGTTGTTAATTGCATCCTTAGAGATCAAGTGCAAGCGCGAGTTTGAGGCTTCTTGTCCCAACGGAGATTGGAAGAAGTCCTCCGTAGAGGACAACGTAAAAGGGAGGGAAGACGCTAATGTCTCTCCGTGCGTCGAAACCTGCCCAGAACATCGTAAAATTACTGCAACAATTGATGATTACATTTTTTCATGTGCAGCAGCTCTGACCAAAATACAATAACGATAAAGAAATTAAAATTCTGAAAGAACTAAACAACTTTTTATTATGAAAATGAATTATGGCAGATTTTATAGGCTTTTGGCGATTCACAAGCACCAGTTCACGCAAGAGCAAGATTAGGGAGCAAGTGTATCGTGAAATTTAATCATAAATGTTCCAGTCAGGAGGAAGTTCTTTTAAGTTGCACTACATTGGGTGTGCACACGCGTTCCAAATTAAAATCAAGCGCTTGTCGAGTTTACTCAGTTAAGACTCGTCCAGGTTATGAGCGCCGATTGAACATATGGAATAACAGAGACCTATGGGTAAATCGGCAGATGGCGAATGACTTTGCAATAATTTTGCATTCTTGTATCTCGTCTGAGTAGAGGCTTCTCGTGGAAAATGCCTATACGTTTCCAAAGGATGGATAAAAACTCCAGAGTCCTTAACGACGTTTATTTCACGTGTACTTAAGATGGAACGACAAAATAGCGTTAAGTCAGTGGAGCAAATAATCAATAGACATTTAAGTTGCAGATAAAGCTCCTTACGTAGTAAACATAGGAAGAACGCATAGCAAGAACAACGATCTTGACCCAGGTCCGTAAATAACTCGTGAAGAATTGTACTTTAACACAAAGCTAGTCACAATGCACTGCTGAAATCAAACAACAGAATTTTTAGCACAGTGCCACAGTTTTAAAATAATTCCAGACTATATACACCAAACCCAAAATTTGTGAATAAAAAATTACAGTTCGTCAACTTCTAATGTCCGTCTGAAGAAGGAAACGAGGCGTGTGGAGGTACTTGGCTGTTATCAGAGAGGTTCTTGTTGACTTTATGAAGTGCGTACTCATGAGTCTTGAGGTTGGACTTGTTGCTGCTACGATAATCGCAGAAGGAGCATTTGAAAGGCTTCTCGCCAGTATGGATGCGTATGTGTTGCTGTAAATGAGCTCTCCTGTTACAGCGGTACGAACACATGGGGCACGAGAAGCGCTTTTCAATCGCATGCACCTGCTGCATGTGGCGACTCAGTGCTCCCGGAATAGCTGTATTGAATGAGCAGAGCGAACACTGCAGTGCGGACCCCATGTGTGCTGAGAATCCTCCTCTGCTGAAGCCAGCAGTCCCCAGCAGCAGCTGCACCGCGAGAGGTGCTTGCTCTCCATCCGATTGTTGGTCGTGGAAAAGCGCACGCTGGTCGCCGGTCGCTGAGCAGCTGTCAGACGACACCTGCAGAGGACACAGGAACGGCTTTAGGTTCACTCTCTCACGGCATTGTCATCAACTCACGTTGAATAACGATTACTCAAGTTTCTCTCCCTAAGTTACTTATAGTTTCAGGAATTCGGGACTTACGAAGATCGTCTCTTGGTCTTCTACTTCTATCTTTTCGAAACTCGAAGTTTGCATATGGTCGGAATCACTGCAGCGCGTTGCATTCTTCCTTAGTTCGTACTTTCGCAAAAACGAATCACCGATAATAAAGTAATAATTTTCCAACACTCATCACACAAGCTTAGTATAAAATATGATGCACTCGTTCTTATTGCGAACAAACACGCGCAGAATGAGATATGTATCGACCCACAATAACATCGATTTTTCTGATCACAAACTTGTCACACAGTAACGCGAACGCGATTTCGATCAGCGGTGATCAGTCGTAGAGCCAGCGCAGTCCGCGCGATGCGTTTCCAGATGCTGCTCGAGACGGAACTTCATGGTGGTGGCAAAAGAACATAATGAACACTTGAAGGGCCTATCACCAGTGTGAGTTGCGAGATGCCTCTTGAGCCCTGCCTTCTGCTTGCTTCGGTAGCTACAGTAAGGACACGAGAAGGGCTTGCTAGGTAAGTGTCCCTTCAGGTGTCGAGACATGTTACCGCTGTTGCGAGTTCTGTAGTGACATAGAGAACACTGCCGCTCGAGGTCATGTCCACCTTCTACGCTCAAAGCAACAGCTACAGGCCCTCCTCCAACCGAGACACTTTCTTCAACATAATGACTTGAGCGTTCATGTTGCTGTTCTACAGGACAAAAGATCACGGGTGCATGATCAGTCCCGGAGAAGGTTGAGTTGTTGTCTGCATGAGCAAATTTGGAGGCGCCCAGCTTTGTAGCGAAGTCACCGGTCACCTGAGCACAAACAGCATAGCGTTTATTTTTTGCCACGAGCGCAACATTATGATGGCTGAAACTGATACATCAACTCACACATGCAACCTCATGAAGAATAAACAAGGAGAAATAAACAAGTGCCTGAATTTACCATAAAAGCGACGGTATTAAGGCTGAGCCTACCCCAAACGATGTTCATATTAATTATCTAATACACGACAAGTGTTGATGTTTGTCACTCAATAATGGGTATGAACCATCGAACACATAACACTGTTTAGAAGTCTCCGTCAGATAGCTATATGAACATCCACAGGAATCTGACGGATTACTGAACGTCACGATCTATTAGTTACGTTTATCGATGTTAGGGAACAACTACAGAAGAGTCGCGCAAATGAGTTGACATGTGTCGCTTAAGGTGCGCGTTCTGCTTGGTCCTGAAAGGGCAGTAGAGGCACGCGAATGGCTTTTCATTTGAGTGCGAGCGCAGATGACGAAGCATATTACTTGGGTTGCGTGTATTGTACGAACACTGCGAACATCGCTTAGCAGCGAAACTTCCTTTGCCGCATGCAATTGCGTGAGGAAAAGAAGGGTCGCGTCCCACGGGGAACACCCACTCCTCTGACGAGTCATGATCTCTCGGCCCCACGTCGCCATATAAGAAAGACGTGGAACAAGATGAGGGTGAAGCAGCGGTATTGGAGCACGAAGTATCCATATCATGAGACCGTAGGACATCTTGCTCGGTCAGTTGACAATCAGCAGTAACCGAACTGGTGAACGTTGCGCGAGTTGTCGACCGTCGGTGCTGCTGTTCCTGTGCACAACAGAATTGAGACTTTAAAGCTAGCAATGAGGGCTTCGAAATTCACTACTTACAAACAGTTACCAAATAGGGAGCAAGAAGTGAGTCGTGCTTAGATTTTAACCTAGATTGCGTTTTTCGCCGAGATTTTCATTTAGAAATGTTGATTTTCTCGATTAATGAACAAATCCGTTTTCCATCGAATTTTTTCTAAGTTTCACATCATCATCGGACAAGCAACCACAATGAAAAGCCGAATAAGACCACCATCACAATCACAAATTCAAACGTTTGGGGGGAGGGAATCACCCAATAGTGAACCTGAATCAATCGGCCTTTCAGCACTCGTGTGCATATCGATATAATCAGAAGAAATTTCAGGCGTCTGAGGCGATTGAAGTCGCTGTTTACGCGGAGGCACAGGAGAATATTTTTGATGCGTAGCGATATGACGCTGCAGTGTTATTTTCTGCTTTGATCTGTACGCACAGAAGGGGCAAGCAAAAGGGCGATGGTTCGAGTGTCCTTTGATGTGCCGAATCATGTTACTGCCGTCACAGGTTGTGTAAGAGCAGAGAGAACATCGGCGGTAAGATCTTTGCTGGTCTTTAGCAACAACCAACGCAACGGCTGGGGACGTAGGATCATCATCTCCCGTGATAAGTTGTCGCGAGAAGATGCTCGACGTTGGTGGAAGAAAACTGGCCGAGTTTCCAGAGTATGGATGACATCCTTCAGTCTCCGGTACCTGGGCAAGGAAGAACAGACGAGCGTCAGTCGCCAAAACATTTTTTTCCAGGTACAAGGGACCACTCATTTGTAACATCGCTCTAGGTAGCTGGCAAACTTAGCTGAGCAAGTCAGCCGACGTGAGATAAACATTGTCACTACGCACCTTGAGCCACCAACAGCTTCAGCTACCTCCAAAATAAGAAGAGTAGCCTGATGAAACGGCGCTTACAATCAACGAATTGGAACTGTGTAGCAAAATACAGTGAACGGAGGGGATAAAAAAGCGCATCAAAATAACTCATTTAATTATAATTCCTATGAAGGCAACAATGCATAGAATTAAACAGTCGCACGAGAATTTGCGCGGCTGTCACTAAATAATACTCCTACTCAGGAAGTTCAAATACGCTTATCATAAACTTACAGTGAAATAGACGGAAATGTAGCTGCTACCGGAATGTTCGATGAGCAATGGAATTGATTGAGAATAACGCGAATGCATATCTGCAGAGAATCTGAAGTTTAGGCAGGTACTTAGCGTGGAACCTTGTCGCGACTGTTGCATAGAGACACTAATTTATACATGCTAAAACGATCTTAATCAACGTCTTAGCAACCATCCATCACTTTATCAGGCACACGAGGTATCAGTGTCATGCGTGAAATAGATTTCATGGCGCGAAAGTCGAAATTCATCTGTCCAAAACGAAAAATACGTGACATCACGACGTATGAAAGTTCACACAAATGATTATTTCGTATTGGTGTGTCGTTCAATTACTTGCAGACATTACTTACATACACAATTAAGTTATGGTAAATGAATAAGTACAGAAAGTGAGTGACTAAAACCTTAAACTAAACGTGAGGAATTAAGGCAATTTTGTGTGCTGTGACACGTGTAATAATCATACGAGATAGTAAGAACACGTGGGTGAGCGATTGCTTATAGCTAATGTCAACACGCCAGCATCTTAGATATCCCAGCAGAGCGTCGCACGAGCCCCAACAGTTTCTGAACTCTGTGTGCTTTGTTTAGCAATAAAAATTTCTGGAGACTTTAGTTTATACAAAAAAATTGTATTTGAAACCAAGGGCATCGCCGCAAAATGGAGCTCAAGTGTTTACATTGCCATAGAGTGAAGTAGGATTTAACTTCCCGAATAATGAGGCAAAATTTCGGCCTACAGATAAAATTTTCGTGCAAGAACTCGTGGTCAATTGCAATTGAAAAGTAATAATGCTAGGAATCTTAATCATGAAAACCTAAAAGATTCACATCCTACGCGAAAAACGTGTTGAACTAAACGTTTATTTATGAACACAAGCATAAATTTTCTGTCAGCAAATATTTAAGTGCTTATTAACAACAAAATCAATACAGGACGATGGAGGATAAAAATTAAAAGTTTCGTTCCAAAAACATTCGTCATTGACAGGTTCGTGTAAAAAAACATTGTTATGTTATATACCAAGAAATCCAAGCCTGAAAAAAAATAATGTTCCTCAGACGTAAATTACGCTTGGCTTATGAAGACTCTTGATAAATACTAATTATAACAGCTTTGCAGCTCACGTGAAGAAATACATCAAAATCGCACAAAAAACTTTCAACTGCAATTTCAATCAAGAGTGAACCAAAAAAGTCCAATCCTTGTACTTTCACAAAAAAAAGTTTATACACAATACACGGGTATCGAATTCCCTCTTTTCACACAAAAATATTGAAAGAGTTCAAGAAATCTAGAACAAACTAACCGTCCTACAACTAGAGTGAGCTAGACCAGTGAAATAAATTCTCAAATAAAGAATAAGCCACAAGTAATAAGCCATGTTCACCATCCCGCATTATTTGCTTTTAAGATCAACTGTTTCGATATCATTGATTGTCTTAAAATGATTTTAATATCTTAAATGAATCTAGCAATCCAATGATAATATAAAGCAGGGATTGCAAAACCAATGAGGTGGGCTTATACTTGTTTGATGAACACTTAGCTAATTTTCTGATAAATCAAAATTGGAAAGTTTAAGTCAGGTCTTTCTCACTACTGAGGCACAATAAGGCTCTAAGTTAAAATGTGAAGTCAGCATGAGCGTTGCGAAGGTGGACTTTGAGTGCAGTACGTTGCGTCGAACGGTAGGCACAGTGAGGACAAGCGTAGGGCTTTTCGCCCGTGTGCGTACGTATGTGGCACGTAAGGATACTATTAGTAGAAAAACATCGGGAACACACAGGACAATTGAAGGGCTTCTCTCCAGTATGTAGACGTAGATGTGCGTGAAGAGAAAACTTGCGAGTGAAAGTTTTTGTGCACTTAGGATGTGGACAAATGAAAGGCTTCTCGCCAGTGTGCGTTTTGATATGGTCCAATATCCTGGAAGATGTAGGCGCCGTGTAGCTACAGAGTACACACTGCCTGTAGCACTCGCCAGAAGGCAGTCTGATCACGCGGTACAGGCTTGGTAAAGGAGCAGCTGCAGCGTTCGATATGTTTTCGCAGCCCTCGGCGTCGTAGAAAGGTAGTCGCTGCCCCGAGGCATCGATAGCGTGCAACACACGAGAGGCATCTTTCGGTTCCAAATCATATGCCTGAACCTTCTGGTTAAGTTCTTGTTTGAGAGGCGATGCCTGTAGAGGCTGTGGACGGGTAATGCTTGCAGAAGTCAAAGCATCGCACACTTGGGAAGGAAGGGGAGGTGGTGGAGAACGGGGAGCAGTCTCAAGGGGAGGGCGGACGGAGGAGGCACAGTGCGAAGTCGTCTCCTGCAGGTAAAGGCAACTTGTCATCAAGAGTCTCACTATTTTATCAAGCTTGCCAGCGCTTCATTTGCAAAGCGTCATTTAAATAATGATAAACCAGTGCAGAAAAACGTAAATAATAAGGGATGAAAGGAAAGAAGTAATAAGTTGAATCAACATAAAAAAATCAACCGTAGTCCCGACAAGTGACGAAGAATCGAAGCCTTTATACGTTAGTGTTCTGTTGAATTCGCTTACAGAGATGAATCAGATGTTACTTCAGCTAAAATTCATTCATTTTTACGCGCTTTGTCATGCTTATGTTCATAAGAATAATCACGGCAGATTAAACCAATTAATGATAAGGTCCATTGAGGGAGTCTCAATTGAATTATTGATTCTCACCTTGTGGATTTTAACTCAATGCAGTTAGTGCATGGTACGCGATGAGTAATTCCCAAATTTTATGGAATTAAAACAATAATTTTAATTTTCTTCATGAAATAAATTATGATAGGCGATTTTGTACCGAGGTTAAAAATACATCGATTAAGAATATTATTTATTAGACACATCTACACGCTTCAGTCAGAAACAATGACTGATCTTATTACAAGCATCAAGTTCCTCCACATGACGGATCTTATTATAAGCATCGAGTTTCTTTACACGGCTCACATGACTGATATTATAAGCATCAAGTTTCCTCACATCAGAGAGCACGTTTAGTCTAGACAAATCACTTGGAACACTCATGCAAAACTTGCAATGACCTTAAATTTTAAATTAGTGCCATTGGCAATGGCGCTAATTTAAGAGGCAATGGCCTCTTGACTTGCTTGATCCTTAAATTTTAAATTAGTAAGCTTTTGTTCAGGTTAATAAAAAACTCATCATAAAATGTGAATTCTTTCCACCAATTTGATTACTAACTTCACTGACACTTACTTACAGGCAAGCCTTTGTCAAGAAGCTCGTTGAGTTTACCAGTGATCTAAATGATTTGAATTATCTTCCATGGCGCTAAATAATACGTTGATAGCACAAAAATACGATATATTGTATCAAATTGAACCTCACTCAGCTAGTGTCTCCTTATGTATTGACAACAGATGAGTTTTGAGTCTTATTTTCTGAGTGGCGCGATATGGGCAACGTGGGCAAGGAAATGGACGTTCGCCAGTATGAATTCGCATGTGAGTTTTGAGATTGCCAAGTTGTTTTGTCCTGAACCAACAAAATGTACAAGCGAAGGGCTTTTCATCATCCTCGTTCTTGAGCTGCTGCTGACGGTCCGCAAGTGATGTGCAAGACGATGACTGAAACATTGCGTTGATAGACTGAGAGATGAAAAGTGGCGTCAATGAGCAAGAAGAACTTGACTCGGTCACGTTTCCTAAGGATGCATCTCCAGGAAGCCTTGTATACGGTGAAAGACCAGGAAGCTGTTGCAATGAAAGAGACTCGTTCAAGGCAGACTTGAGGATCCCGCTCTGCCCGCGAAAGGATAGAGGACTGGTAGAAGAACATCGCAAGGTCTTGGAGCGATGCAAGTCCTCCACCTGCAGTAACACAAACAAATGCTTAGCCAACACGCTCCTGCCCACCAACAACTATATCAACAAAAATTAATGTACATGCCACTTGCTCGAAATTCAAAAGTAATAAATGTAGTTTCACGTCAATGAGTGCAATGCTGTTTAACGAGACGTATTAACGAACAGTCCACGGGTACAAAATCTCGTTTAACGTACTGGAATTTCCACAACTTTATCGAAGGCAGCAAAATCGATAGCCTTTTTTGGCAGGCGATAAAATGAAATAAGCATAGATTCAATATACTGTCACTATTCACAAAGCACGTGCGCGCAGAAGTAAACTGTCGATGTATTTCAGCAAATTTTAAAACCAAATTGAGATTTCACAATTCGTTGGTACAATATATGATCACATAAAAAATATAATTAGTGATTTTAAAGTAAGCCAAATGGGTTTTTGAACAATGATCTCAATTTTAATCTCACTCGGCATTTTCATATGAGAGATGAATGCACGGAGGAGCTTCAATAAGTAAACGGTACCTCCAAACTCAAGTATGGTACCTTAATAAAAATTCTCGTAATTCAATTACAAATAGTTTTCAACTTATGATCGAGTTTCGGAGGCGTTTCAATACATGTCGACAGTTAGATGGCAACACGTCTTATCAAGTTATTTAGGGAAGTTAGTGCAATAAGCCTCATGGCGGTGACTGGCATATGTAGTTTCGGAAAAAGCTAAATAACATGTATGAAGGCTTATTTTGTTGCCTTCAACGACGCTGGGAATTATCTGGGGGCTCATTTTGTTGTCTTCACCAACGCCACGAATTTTTTAAGTAGTAGCGCCGGCGTGAGCTGACATCATGTGGCGGGCTAAATGTGCTTTCTGGTTAGCGCGATACGGACATAGCTTGCATGCAAAGGGCTTCTCGCCGGTGTGTATCCGCAGATGAGTTTTCAAATTCTCTTTCTCGATTGTTCGGAAGGAGCAGAAGGTGCAGGCGAACGGTCGTTCTCCGGTATGGATTCTAAGATGTCTCTCAAGATGACTACGACACTTGGTACTGTAAGGGCACGCGGGGCACTGCAGAGGAGTTTTGGAGGGAGAACGCTCCTCAGAGCTGTTACTAGGTCCAGCCGCGACTCGCGATGAAGATAAAGAAGTGGATGCTGAAGAAGGGACCAACGAGAGAAACCCAGTGCTGGCCATGAGAGGTGCTGCGTTCTGCATCGCCCCAAAGTGCATCTGTGGGCGACAAGCAGGACTCGTCTCAACAAACACGGTACACAGCAGCGGAGAACAACGGCACAAATATGTAGCGGTCCCTCGAACAGATTTGACACTCGTAAAGTACGACAAGAGGTATATTACTCACGTGTTGGTTTCACGAGGCTTCGATAGAACTTCGATAAAGTCCTTGCACCAGGAAACGATGCTCGGCACGTCTTTCACACCATAGCAGGCGTGCTTGCGCATCTAAAGGCTATCTTAGAAAGGTGAAAATGACCATGAACGACAAGTTACCTATCTTGATGCCGTCGACTAATAACGAAACCAATTTGTACAGACATGAAACTCTTCACAAAATATTACTCCCTCCCCAAAAAAATCTTTCAACATTTGGTGATGAGAAAGCAGGTGCTCACGGCGGATGGGTTTCACTGTCTGCCATGTTTGGATGGTTGGAAAGAACATGGCGCCTGAGATGCACTTTCTGGCTAGCTTTATAAGCGCAAAGATTGCACGCAAAAGGTTTTTCTCCGGTATGGACACGAAGGTGTTTCTTGAGGTTGTCGTACTGTGTGGTCCTATAGTGACACAAGGAGCAAGCGAAAGGTTTTTCGCCGGTGTGGGTGCGAACGTGACGACGGAAGTGACTGGATGAAGTGGTCCAGTAAGGGCACAGGCAGCACTGGTGCACCCTAGCATCGCTAGGTGGAGGAGGCCGGTTATCGTGAGCCGTATACAGAGAAGACTGAACGAGACCATCGCCAACGGTAGAGGCGGCCACACCAACGCCACTTCTCATGGTCATCTGCAAACAGAGATGTACCCTCACTGCATGGTCAACGTAGTGTAGAAATTGCTGCTTGCGTCACACGTCCTGCGTCATATAAAAAGTAACCGAGGTTTCTTATGAAACTAGCGATCCGCATCTCTAAAATTTAGCAAAATCACGCGTAAATGAATTCAAATATACTCGAATGATCTTGACAGTTAATGTGACCTAGAGAAGCACAAATGTTTACAAAAAAATTATATCTGATCGAATAGTCAATTTTACGCGAGAAAAATATTGAAATTTATGGTAAAATTAAATGTGCGCTGAAAGGTTGTTCCTCGTTTCCAATTTTCATAGGGGAAATAAAATAGGTGGGATGCTTCAAAGTATATTATTCCTACAAACAAATTTTATCAGAGTTACAATGAATTGAGAACCTCTGAAGGAAAACACAGGGTTATTCAACAGGAATCAAACTCATTGTGTTGAAACTAACGTTCGAAAAGGCTTTTTTTATCAACATGGAAAACCGTTACCATGACAATAACCACTTTAATTGATCATGGCCCGTCCGAATGACTTGCGCGAACTTAGAAAAATGTTAATAATAAATATTACCACAGAAAACACACACAACAATCAATCGAAACGACTGCCCACTAAAACAGAGTCTTCAAAACTTAATTAATACGTTTGACCTCCCATTCCGTCAAATTAGAACAGGCAGCACTGGTGCACCCTAGCATCGCAGGGCGCCTAGCAATTATTTTGATAGCTTTGCGTTAGGGTAAACGTCAACGGCTAGAACAGCTGCAGCAGCAGCGCTGGCAATAGCGGCAGCTGCGTTAGCATTAGCAGCAGCATCAGCGTTAGCATTAGCAGCTGCCGCAGCTGCAGCAGCAACCGAGTCTGCGGTCACAGCAGCAATCTCCGAGTGTTTCCTGTCGACATGCTTATCAAGAATACTTTTTCTGGTCGTGGAGTAAGTGCAGTAGATGCAAGCAAAGGGTTTCTCTCCTGTGTGGCGGCGGATATGTCGAATAAGATTACAGCGTTGGTTTGAGCGAAAAGCGCAAAAAGGACAAGCAAATGGGCGGTCGGTGCTATGAGTTTTCATATGTTTGCTCATACTTGTGAAGCTTAGAGTTTCGTAAGGACACAGTGGGCAGTGTCGAAGACCGTAAGGATCGGTACTATGTTTCTCCAAATCACTGCCAGAGGGGTAAGGCTTTTCACAATGCCCAGAAAGCAGTGGTTCCACGCTATTGTGGCCGAATATGACGCCTGATACACGACCAGCAGAAGAAACGCCTTCAGCGGGCAGAGAGAGGGCGGCGTGGTCGGCTTGCCACGAGAACGCAGCCTCTTCAGATACTCCCACCTGCAGCAACAGAAACGAAATACCTCAGCAACGACAACATAATTCAATCTAGGCTTCTTACGCCACTAAGATGCGATGAACTGGAAGGCATTTCTTCCA